TTTATGAATGATGAATCTAATGAATGTAAATTTCATCAACCCATCATTTGTGCAGCTCAGAAAGCTATGAGAGCTTGTTTCTTTGCGATTCGGTGTTCTGGATATTTTTTCTGAAAATCTGTAGAAAGCGTGTGCGCCAGTAGTGATGGGCATGGTCCCAACTGGAACCTTGGTGTCAACTCTCAGTGGCGAACTTGCCACGTTAGCCAGCCGCCTACATTCTCGAGCACCTCGGAATTCCAGCACAACCAAAGTGGAAAGTTTGCATAGTTTACGATACCAATACTTAATTATATATCCTTAATATTAGTGTTTGGGGCGCGAAGCTGGCGCAATGCGTCGGTGTATTGACATCGTAAGAGAATAACGAAAATTTTTAAATGCACTGAGAGTCTTGCAACTGACGAGAACTATACGCTGTCTTGAACCATAAGGCTCTCTGTTGCTCTCGACAGAAGTGGTTTACCATTTCGATAGAATCTCAGTGAACGAACATCCCATTTCAAGGACTTATTGCAGCGTCGCGGCTACGTTCGCATGGCCTCGTGTGCACGTCGTTAGCTCCTGCGAACATGTCTAGTATAGAAACTGTTTCGTACACTGTCTTGATCATGACGTCATGATTCTGAAATTAAATTTAGGAAGTCTCATCTAAGATGCAAGGAATTCCGCAACGAACTATTATAGTTCGATTCCAAGAATCCACACAACCTGCATGAGTATAGCATATCCCCAGCCTTCATACTCCATCACTGCTTTCATACATTCGTAATGTGCGCGAGTTCCATTAATTCCATGTCTTTCGACGACAAAACGCTCTAAAAAATTGGTACTAACAAAAAAATCAGTGTCACTCGTATCCAGAAAAGTTTCTAAGTAACGGTCCGCAGTGGAGAATCTCGTTCCAGTTTCACGTCCAAGAAGTTGTAATGTAATTAGTTAGGGCGCAAAGTTATCCCAATGCCACCACGCCTTTTCCTGTGACTCTGCCTCCAGGCTGCGCCGTCGAAACCCGCTTTCTAACCAAAAGTGACGCTACCGGACAAGTAGCATAAAATGAATGCTTCACTCCCCCTTCCAGGGTCTTAGTTTCGTTACAAGGAATTAGCCTACTGGACTCGTCCCAAGGCGCAACCTTTTGACCGTCTATCCGTACAGTTGTTTTAGGCAGGAAGGCTTCTATTGTAGGCGTTTTCGACGTACGCTCTGGGACTTCCATCTTAATTCCATCCAATATCTCAAGGTAATACGAGCATCTAGGCAGCTTCTCCCTCCCAACCAGAATGCAGCATAGAGTTGCATAAGAGAACTACACTGCTTCCTTTCGCTCTCTATTTGCGGAGCTTCGGTTTTTTGCGTTGTGTTAGAATCATTGAATCATCATCAGAATATGCATAACTAGCCAACCTTTAGGTGCTAGCACATTGGGAAGACATTGTGCGAGTGCTCTCTATCTTCTCTATGAATTCCTGCTTTGCTTTATAATCGATAGAATAACAAAAGATATTCTGCGGATGATAGCTTGATCTAAGTTCATCCTCGATGAATTCGTAACTCTGGAATGGGTGTGTCCAAAACAGTGCAAAAATTTTTTTACTCGATATTTTACTCAAGTGTAGCTCCTGAAAAGTACCTCGTACACTAATCGTATATGCGCTACTCCAAATTTTAATCGATCAAGTGGCTTCGGAGGAAGCACTCGAGCTCGAATATGTTCGCAACTCATCTGCAGGTCTTGATCTGCGAGCGTAGGACGTGATACTGCTAGACTTTTCGAATAATTCCCCTGCAAAATGAATCTTACTGAAAGTCTTTGAATCTTCAATAAATTCACCCACGTTGTTGTCGTACAGAAGCCTCCCGCAATCAATGTGCACTGTTTCTTCTTTTCGCTGGAAGCGTACCATCTCCTGCTGCTCATACTGTATGCTCTAAATGGGATACTACCGCTCCACTAATCTGCGGGAAGCCCATATGCTTCGATTGTGTCAGTTCATAACGCTGCACCCACTAGGTTTTCGGCTAAGAGCAAATCAGTACCGTGAATCAGTAATCAGAAAAAAAGTTATAACCGGGGACTTACAAAACCTGCAAACTTCCGCAAGAGGCCTCATCATGTAAGCCAAAGGCTATCGTAGGAAATCCACTATTGCCCATCGATTGGGAATGCCGCGATATTAATGCACAGTTATCTTCAGACCTCTGTATGCTGTGTTTGTTTGGTTGGAAACGGCTCTTCACGAAGCGTGCGAACTGTCGCTTTCAGTCCTCTTTCATCTCTATCCTTGGCGTGGCGTGTACGCCGAGAGCATCGTTTATGAAAGGTCTGGCATGAAACATTTGCCACTTCGTCGTAGAAGATTTGCGTTAGAGTTCGAACGCATTTTTCCAATGGCACAGTTACTTGGAGGTGACTTTGTTAGCCTTAGCAACCACGGGATGAGACGTCAAATGGGAGCCAGCTGAAGTGGTCGAGCCTTTCACTTGTATGAAGTCGGTCATTCGGTACGGAACATGTCTGGAGGCGCGAAAACCCACAAACAAATATGACTTACACACTCAAGTGACTGCGCTGATCGAATCGCTTTCGAATCAATGCGGTTTTCATTTGGAGCAGAATGGGCGGCATATTCGAAAAAAAGGTCGATTAAAACGGAACGCTTCATTCTATTTATTACAGTAAGGTACCATTTCAAATCCCTTGGACATACTGTAGGCGCATTTAGGAAGCTAGGATTGAAAATGATGAATGAAAATTTCACATCGGAGTCAACACTTACGGTTAGTAATCACATATCCTCACCTCCGCTGGAAGAGTTTCGTTTCGTTCTGCACTGGTCCCTGAAAACTTCGAAACTTCAGAAACAGGAACGACGGGAAAAGCTTTGTGCTAGAGGGTTCTGCTACTACTATGTGGAAGCTCACAATGAAGAAGGGTAGACATCGACCTTCTTGCGCACAGATTATTCGTGGATGGACAGCGACAATTTTATGCACTAGACATGTGGGGATGGCCACTATATATCAAGACGAAGACCATTTGAGCGTTTTATCTGTTTTCCCGTCCTTCAAGAATGCTCCTTTATGCTCTTTTGAAATTTGATATCTTCTATCATCATCTATCGTACAGGAGATTATCTAGCGGTCAGTTCGAGGAGTCTGCGCAAAAACTGCAACGCACTGAGCACAAAAACTGTCAAGTTACGGTCTATGAGCATACGTATGCTATTTTTACTCCACCTCCTTTCACGTCCTAATCCAGTGCTGCTACGTAATGCCAGTGACCGATAGTTACCAATTAAGTGGCTTATTTAACAACAGCTTTCTTAGTCGGTTGAGCGGTTGGACCTCCTGAAGAAAGTATCCCAGCGGTAATCGCGTGTTCTCCCGCAACTGACGACCAACTCCTCCACGAAGTGTGCATTATCGGATGAACTTACACCCCTGTTCAAGCAACTCGAGAAGTCCCTGTCAAGCTACAGATTCGATTTCCTCCACAGCAAGGATGTGTAGAAACACAGACTGACAAATCGACGCACGAAGTCAGTGATTAAAGGCACTTTCCGCGATAAAATAAGGCTATGACCTTTCAAATGTGTCAGACGATCCGGAAGGAGATTGCGGAGGCTGCGCTACCTTTAGAAAGTGAAAATCGGCAAGAATTCCGCTTTAAGCTAACCAATTAGGCCCAAGGGCGCCCCTTAGGCCCATGCCGACCCCACCGGCTGCTAGCTACTAGCTAGTAGCCACTATGCTATCTCTCTCCATTCCGAATGGTGAGAGTGAGGTGATACGATAAAAGAGCTGATATCTTTATGATAACGACGAGTGGAAATTCGTACAAACATGCGTTTTCTTCATTGCATGCATGTACAAGTTGGGGTCGATATGGAATCCTATTTAGGGCATTTTCGGCTGTTTTTCTGCTGCTTTTCTCCGCTAATCAGATACCTAGCCCTTTTTCGTTCCTACCACCGGTCGCGGGCTTTGCCTTTAACGAAATAGAGTGAGGTTTCGATATAAGAGCAAGTTCATTTCAGGGTTTCTTGTGACGAGAACTGCGTCTTCAGGAAAATCATAATGCTTCTCTATTGAGAGCGAACTTTTATGAGTCACTATTGGAATTCTATGTAAGATTTAACCAAGATTACCGAAAGGCACGAGATTCTCTGAGCAAAGTTTCTCTCCTCGTTCCAATAAAATAGTGTAAAAGCGATGAGGCCGCAAGAACCTACCTATGGAAGGGTCCCCGTTCACAGCATTGGCGAGGTATTGCAATGGTCACAGGTCTCAGCGCGACGTAAAGCGTAGTACTGCGTAGAGGCGAATCGAGGTTTGAAGGTTGCTCTGTTACTTGTCGTATCTCACCTTTCTCTGGCCGACACTTGTTATCATCTGGTCTCTATGCTGGAGAGACAGTTTCTTCCCTGGCACGTGATTACGTTCAAGTGCCTTCTTTTTTTTCCTATTCCCTCATTTCAGACCGCGTACATTTCGAAGAAATGGAGAACATAACAGAACCAGTAATGTGCGCCTGAGAACTTCGCAGATATCCATCTGATGAGCTGGGAGAACAGTGAAGTCTCTGAATAGAAGGGAGCCAATCAATTACCCCTCACACTTTTATGACTCCTCCCGATTCGCACTTTCCGTTATATTTAAATTACTTTTAACAAAATACGCTGTTCAAGGGGGGGGGGTGGGCTTGTAAAGTGGAAGCAAATTATACAAATATTATGGATGCTTATGCGGCAGTGAATGGAATTCGTGCAATTGGAACAACTTTAGCTGCATTCACACCGATAAAATCCATAGCGAGCCCTTAAAAGGTGCGAACCTAAAGACGTAATTCACCGCATTTGCACCTTTTCTTGGAGAAGAGGTGATACCTAGAGACCAAACCTCACTAGGGAAGGACAACAGCTCAGTTGACCGATTCCGTGGTGCACGCCGCTGTACGTTTCCTACGGCGCTGAACTCAATACTGCTTGCCAAATCTGCTGCTGAACGGTTCTCTGAGAATCGTTTTGAAGAGATTTTTCACCACACTGTTAACACAATCACGATAAAGCAGTTTGTCAGACAAGTCAGTGGAGCTAGGAATTGTTGTAGAATGACCTGGTGATTAAATATCTTGAACCGCGAGACTGACAGGTGACCTGCGACCTTCCCTCGGATGGCTAGTTAGTGTCTTACGATATTGTTCAGACGTATTCGTATCCGTATCAACAATGTAATCCTTTCTACAGGAGCTTACACTTGACTAGATATGACGAGAAGAAAATTCGAAGCTTAAGTAGGTCTGATTTCCAATCTTCATTCGTCTATTATGAGATTTCAAGTTTGTATAGAAGAAATAAACATAGCGACCAGCGATCTAGATGTGAGGAAATACTACAAAAACATTGCACCTTCGGGAAGCTCTAAAACTCATTGATTTATTTGAATTTCTTCTCTCCGTTTTATAGGGAAACCTACAAGTTGGGAAATCGATTCATGCAGCCATGGGTGATTCATTTGAATGAGGGAACAATCCCATCAGCTCCGAATGAAATTAGCTGTTTTCATGCTGAGGATCAGAACGGATAATGGATTACATCACGAAGTGGTCTCAGTCTTGAATTTTGACTTTTCACACCCTTGAAAGCAAACGAAGAAAAATGTTGGCACAGTACCAAGGAAACAGTTGTAGCTGCGACTGTGGACAATCGTGATCCTTGCAAATAGAATGGTTGAGACCGGGTGTGGATCAAAATCGAGTCTCTTCACACGGATGGTGCCATCCTGAGCCCGCACAGCAAAAGATAACCTGGCTGCAAAGAGACAGGCGTGCAACCTACGCCCCTGCGACATGCCTCATCGTTCGCAGGGATTGTGATGTACGGTGCACTTGTCTTTTGATTTATAGCAACAGCTTCGATACTAGAGCTTAGTTAATAGTGAGCTTCATGTTTTTCTTCCAACAATCACATTTTCCTCGGACATAATTTTCACTCTCCGAACAAGCCGCTTTCATAGGTAGGCTGCCTGACAAAGGACACGAGCAGAGCTTATCACGACTATACTCGGTTTTGATATTTGAAAAGAATGGATCCGCAGATAGTAGGAATGTAGGATGTTCTATGATTTGAGGTACCATCTGACTTTACAGGTTACGATTCGGTCCCCGAAATCCTCTCGTTTTCCATTCTCGAGAATAAAAGGACACTAAAACTATGGCATGATCCTCTCGTAGCGCAGTTGTACCACAGCCTCGGGATTCTGCTTTGTCTTTCATTTTTTTCTTCTCAATTTTTATGCTGTTAATCACTCACTCGGACCCGTCAGAATTACAGCTTGAGCACAGCCAAATAGCAGGCAATCTACAGGTTAAAATCCTTGGCAAATCAACACGTTTTCAGCAATCCAGTAGAGAGAGAGAATCATATACTAGAAAATCCAGAGAAGTGCCTGCTAGAGAGGTATATAAGGATAGTAAAGTTTGGCAGCTCTCAAAAGACGCTGTTCTCAGAAAACCCTCGAGGTGAGCTGACCGGACAATGGGAGTTCGTTCTAAAAAATGTCAGGGATTGTTTCGTTTCCTGCTTTCAAAAGAGGATCACAGTCGAAGGTGATTGTGGAGAAAAAGTTGCAGTCATGTTTGCTTTTATCAAGCAGTTCCGGGTCGCGAAAATGGGATATGCTCTGCGTTCAGCGCCTACCTTGTACAAGGAAGAACTTCTGCGCCACAGTCAGTCAAGGGTGCTGCCTTCAAACTACACAACGGTGCATTTGTTCTTCGAAAAGATGCCCATTTTGTAAATGATTCCTTCTGTAGCTTGTCAAGTAGATCCCACTAGACCATCGTACGTTCGTGGGACGATGAAATCTTACCTAAAATTGCTTTCTGGAGATATTTTGATGAAAT